CCGGTTCTTCTGGCGGGACGTCCATGATTGCAAGCATGGGCTGCATGGGTCGACCAAGCGGATCGTCCTGCGTTGGCACTTCAGGTGCAGGTGGCCCTTGCCACGGGGAATAGCGCAACTGCAAGCTTCGCATGCCACATGTCCCGGTCCACTGGCCCTTGCAATGGTGAGAAAAGTTTGAATCGCCCAGACTTTTAAACACAATGGCCATATAGCATGCAGAAACCAAACAACATGAATCAACAGAAGGCATGACATACCAAAGGCTTTTGTGCAGTATGTATGTGGTTGGATCATCGAAACAAACACATGATATAGGACCCCAAGCGAAAAAGAAAAACTGAAAGGAAAAAAACAACTCTAAGTTCATAGAAAGAACTGAAAAACATCAAGTTCATCACCAAGACAAAGCACCATGGTATTCAAAGGTCAAGTCCAGCAGCTTTGCTCCCAGGCAGCAAGCGAATTTCTTTAGTTTCAAAGTAGTGCCGCTGCTTTCCCAAGTTCCGACTGCGCCAAAGGCACGCTTCTTCGTCCTGCATGCAGGGGACGACAACAAATCATGGAAAACTGACATCATATTAAATATATATATATATATATGTACATACTTTTGTGGTTGCTATTTTAATCTCATATTTAAGGATCAAATCAAACATTTCCAAAGTCCCACAGCTGAAACAGAAAAAACATAACACATGCCAAGGCAACTTCGTGAGGCGAAGGAACCCAATGGTGCCAAAATGGCAACGCGGCTCCACCATGGGCATCTTGTTCCCGTTGCCTTTGCGCGGGGAGGTGTCAGATAATGGCTTAAGGAGCAGCCACTCGTAGGGCCTTTTGCTGCCATGGTGGCACCATTTGAAAATGGCGCATGATTCTATGGCACCCCAAACTTCGTGAGCTGGGGTGACTAAGAACTGCTGCATCCACATGTGGTCCTGCATGGCGCACGGCAGCTGCTTGCAAGGTGACCTCAAAACTGGTTTGGCCCAAATGGCTTGCAAACATTATACATGGCTTGATCATGCAGTGCATGCATGTCATGCGAACCATGCATGCATGTTCAGTTCTGCATGCATGAACCTCATACCAAAAAACGGCTTTATGTAAGCGAAGTCAAAATGAACATGCGTTTGGCATGTTGATACCACATGTGGCAAAGTGCACATATTGCGAGCCATGCCCGCAAAGGACGTGTCGGCGAGCATTGCCACGCCAGCACAATGCTATTAAGTCGCCAAAACTTTCACATCGAAGCAATCACGGACGTGTATATCCACAAAGCATGAAACAAAAAACAAAAATCGAAGGTGCACCTCTGTCTGCAGGGCGATCGCATGAATTGGCCTGTGGGCAGAAGCAGAAACTGAACAGAAACTGAACTGCAGGCATGCACTTTCTTTTGGCGCAGCGCTAAATGCGGGCTCTGTTCAAAAACCGTGGCTCACGAAAAGCTATGCATAAAGCCATGCCTTTCAAGACCTCCAGTCTTGAGGCTGCAGACATCTATATACCATCCGCCGACTATGCCTTCACAGCTGCATCCTCAGCAACCACCAAAGTTGGCAACTCATGGCACGGCACCTCCTCATTGGGCTGATCATGAGAAGCAGGTGCGGAAGCACTGCCCGCAGACGAAGCAGCACACGGCATTGCGGGCATGTCTGCACCTTCATCACCTTCCAAGTTCTGAGCCCATGGGCTGCCAGGTGACACCGTTGGAGTCAAATCCATATTGATGCGGCGCTGGTATATGCTCTTCCAGCGCAAGTGGTCACGAGTCGCAGGAGACGCATCTCCCATCTCTGCAGCGCTTCTTTTGGCACCATGGCGAAGCACATCCTCCATCCGCCACTCAGGTACATCTGGAAGCAAAACCTGCTTCAGCTCACAGAGCTGCTTCTGGAGCTTGGCCAGTTCCAGTTGGCACACTGACAAGCTGGACTTGGCTTCTATCAGGGTCACCAAGCTATCCAGCAAGAGGTTGTAACATGCACCTGTTTGCGCAGCGTCAAGGGGGCGAAGGCCATTGCGCTCTTCGATCGCCTTCCTGCAGATCTCGACTTCCTCCATTGCGTGCTGGAGAGGCTTTATATGATGCTTTTGAGCCAACAGCTTTGGCACAGGAACAAACAAAGTCTCGGAGCTCATATGCTTCCAAGCATATAAGGGCTTCAAACCATGAGTCCACCAAAACGGCCCTATATTGCTCCAAGTCCAAAGGTCTCTTTCTTAGCCGTGAGTATGTGCTCTTCAGCCCTGTATACAGCTAGTGCATGGGCTATATTGCCATGCGTATACAAACCTTTTTCCGATACGAAGGAGACAAAAGCAACAACGTATCTATATATGTATATATATAGATAGATATAGATATAGATATGGAAAACATGCATGAAGTTACACACGGTCACTTTCCAGTATCGAAAAAACTGGCTGGAGCCACAAGAATGTGGTCATTTTCGAGCATCTTGTACACCAATGCCCCCCGAATGCGAGAAGTCTCTACAAGGGCATCTTGATCCAGCAAAGGCCGAAATCGATTCGTGGAAACCTTCGCAAAGATTCGAACATAAGTGAAAGCATGTTCCAAATATCGGAGATGAAAATGAACCCGTGCAATGGCAGGAGGGTCTGCCAAAGCAACGACGTCGTCGCTTTGGCAACGAGACGCAATTCTTGAAACCAAAAGCGGCGAGACTAGAAATGGAAGGCCAAAGAGAATGCGAAATGAACTGCTCAGTGTTTCACTTGCGGGCTTGAAAGCATTCTGCTCCACCTCATTCAAATCATGAAAGTGCGTCAGCAGCACCTCTCTCAGAACAGAGCGCTCCATGCTTTGATGTCCTGAATGCTGCTGATCAGCCCACCTGCAGACATTGCTTCAGGCAAGACCAAAGGCAACATGATTCATCATGCAAATCCAAACTGCGTTTTGGACTATATTGATGTAATCTTTGGAGATGCAATGCTTGAGAACAAACTGTCTCTGCGAACCTCTTCAAGATCTTGTGGCGCCTTTCATGGACAAAGCAGCTGATGAGCAGCTCATGAAGTTCCAGCTGCTGGCCCAAATGAATGGCCAGATGATGCTTCGGTAAGTAGTGCTGCTCTCCGTAACAAGCCTCAGAAGGGCACAACGCATAGCAAGGACAATCAGACACGATGCGGGTTAAAAGTATAGTATACCACATGAACACGTGCTACCACATTTACACTTCGAGGAGCTTTGAACTTTGTCAAGTGCGCTTCAATTTGGTTTGTGAAGACAGCAGGGGCAATGGTGCCAACAGCAGCTGCTTTCAACGAGTCCAGAACTTCGCACAATCTGTAATAGGACTCGATGGCTTGCCGCAGAGGCGCACTGGGTTGCTCCACTTGATGGACCAAAAATGCCCTCAGCACTGGATACAATGCCAACGCTTCACTTGCTCCGCATTTGAATTCGGCATCTGGTTCCTTTTTCTTTCTGAAAGAATTCTTCGCAGGACAGGATGCTCCACCGTGAATCATTGGCCAAATGAAACTTGAACAAAAGTCATGCAGGGAAGGTTGCCTGTAACCATCGGCTGCAAGAACATTCATCAACAGCGATACTTCACGATGCCATATGCCTGCAACTAAGTAGACGTGCATCGGGTCGAAGCACGTCTGAGAGATCGGCCGCACAATTGCTCTCAAATCATGGTCGAGTAGCACGCCATGAGGCGTGTAGTTGAAACCTAGCCGTGTCTCAAGATCGCTAAACTCTTTCTTGGACAGTCCTGCCATATACTCAGCATGCAGATGGTCCACGACCTGCCAGATGCTATGGTCTGTGTGTAGAATAAGATTTGAATGGTCCACTTCTGTGTGCGGCACTAACATGCCTAGCACAGCTGGCGCATATCTCTTCTGAATTGTTGCTTGGCAGAAGAGACACAACATTTTTCCTGCAGCCCCTTTGTTCTCGAAGGCATGCTTGATGGCAGCCTCGTCTGCAACGATGTAGCCAAGCGAAAATGCCATCATCCGGTCCATCCCATTGATTTGCAATGAAATTCCGGCTGAAAGGTTTCCAGACTCACAAAAAAAGGCTTTGATCCAGAGCTTAAACAGCTGGGTCAGTCCATCCTTCAGCTGGTTGACCAAGTCTGTGCGGACGCAAGCAAGAACGCACCATGCATGCTCTTGACTCAGGTTGTATCCGCCGAATTCCACGATGGAAAAGTAGCAAGCCTGAAGTTTTCTTCTGTTGTGCACTTTCAGCTGGTTACCTGGACTCACTTCGTCCAGGTAGACAGCCAACTTCTACTTGCTGTTGAGGCTATTCTCATGCTTGGCCGCAGCAGAGTCCAGGAACTCACGCATGCGATGGCATCTCCGGGATGTATGCCATAAGAGAGCTGCAGGAGAACAGTAGGGAATCTCAATGAATGTCCCTCCCAAGGTTTCAGCTTTCATCATTTGGATCAATTGTCCATAAGGCGTTTCAATGGATACCGCATCCTCCCGCCTTCTTTTGACTGTGGACTTTGAAGTTGCTTCTGGAATCTGTCCGGACTTCTTGATCGCTTGCAAGACTTCCGACAGGCCACTTTGCGATATAAAGGTCTTCCGACCTAACGCGGCGACATCAAGAGCCATGTATAGAATGGTAGATCATGAACCCAGGGCGAGCATTGCCCGTGCCCCGGCAGCTTTGCGAGCCATGCACCGCAAAGCTATATGCTGGACATTGCGCATCAGGTTCACATCCAAACATATGTGCAACTACATATGGACCCCAAACCTTCAAAACACATTACATCTTCCCCCTTGCAATCCACACCTTTTATATTTATAAACATGTATGTCATGCAATTATATATTATACCACGGCTGCTGCAGAGACGATGCACCTTGAACCCTGCATGGAGCCAAAGGGTTGTGCGTGACACTTAAAGAAAACAACCGCAGCAGGTGCAGTGCTCAGCACGGTCTTTTTCCCCCGACGATGGCAGAGTGAGTCTGCTCATCTACCCTACAAAGCCGGCTTCAGTGGCCGAAGTCAAAGTTCGAAACATCTTGCCATCTGGGCTGATGTACTGCTTGTCTTTCTGGCCGGACTCTCTCACACGCTCATCGATTCTCCAGCCGTTTTTGCAGCGAGTGAGAGTCTTTGGCTTCAGCCCCTTGCCACCAGCCTTGCCACTACCTGAACCACCTGCCTTGGCAATAGACTTAGTCTTTGCCTTTGCCTTGAGCTTAGCTTTGCCCGAGCCCTTCGAGCTGGACTTTGCCTTGGCTTTAGGATTGGCCGCAGCTGGCTTTTTCATTGAAGGTTGGTTTTCAGGCAAGCTCAACAAGACTGCATCGCCTTGCGGCTGCCCTTCATGGGCTGGAGCCTTTTCAGCGGCAGAATCGTCTGGCCCTTTGGACGGTTCGGGAGGGACATTGCCAGCTGCAGGGGTCTTGTTCGAAAGGGCCAAAGGTTGACCCGTTCCACCCTGCTGCTCTGCAGCTCCATCCTCCAACCTCTTGTGCTTTTTGGTGAGCTGGATGTTTGCGTTGTTCGGGTTGGCGCTGCCACCATGCATCATCATCTGCATCATCATGGCACCCATATGGGCCCACATCTCTTGAGACGGGCCTTCATGCGGACGCGAAGGTGCAGCACCAGTGTCATGGACTGTCAAGGCCTTTGAGCCTAATGACCCACTGGCTCTTGACTTGTCACCATTCTTTCCACTGACACGCAAGGTCACATCCTGCTTCAAGACTTCAGACTCGTCCAAATGATGTGGAGGGTCCTCTGCAGTGTACGCAGTGGAAAGCCATTCCAGGTCGTGGGGCTTGGGCGGAAATCTGACCAAGTGGCGCGGCACAACAACTGGCTGCTTTCTGAGCATCGTCTTCATTTGCCGCAGTAGAGCTACAGAAGTTGTTTCATCATGAAGTTCAAGTCCCGCAACCACAGCAGCTTGGAGGATCACGCGCCAGCTCTGTTCAGTTGGCAAGTTGCAGCCAACTTTCACCAGTCGCTCCACGATACCTGGGCGATGGCAGCGGCACTGAAATAAACAATGGGGGATGTCATAGAGTTTAGTTAACGAAAACATGCGTAAATGCAGTTTAAGGTGCACTGAAGTTTCAGCTGCAACACTGTTTGTGCACTGCTGAGTACTTCGACATCGTGCTTGGAAAAGTATTGGTGGAAGGCAGTCACCACTTGACTTTCACGCTTCTTGGATTGACCGCCCGGGGATGACTGGAGCAGAATCTCTGAAGCCCACGTGCCTAGCTGCACCTTCTGGTCGTCTGTCCACGGTCCAGTACTGATGAGGTCACTGAACTTGGTTGCCCCTTCTGCGGTGGTGATGAGATTGGAGCGCGATGTGATCTGCTTCACATGTGCAGCCATGCATTCTGCAAGGCTCTTTTTGTCAACCACCTTCTTCTGGTTATCAAGAAACACTTGCACTTGTGCAATCTCTGAGAGGAAGGCGTCCCAAGTAGTCGCCATGAAGAGCTGGTTGGCCCGATCAGCCAACAGAAACACGTTTTACACCAGGCCCACGTGTCTATAGACTGAGCCATGACAGTCCAAGTTTACAGGCGTGAGTTTGATAACGATGCTTCAACATGCTTCAACAAAGCGATGCAAACTAACTACAGGAAACAACTGTAGGTATTAAACTGTGACCGGTTAACGTCCTGGCAAACATGCCACACTATATGATTGCAAACGCTGAAGCAGCTTGGGCTAAGCTCGCTGCTTGCACCATTGCCGGGTTACACTCGCAGGTGCGTGTAGTCAGTTTTTGACACCGCAAGAAAGGCTACCATGGGAAACTAAAGCTACAGAAACTATCCAAGTAATAGATCATTCACTGGTCTCTGCCTCGCCAGCAGCATCTTCTTCAGGTTCTTCTTGACAGTTTTTCCGTTGTGGTGTCAATGACCCTCCCTTTCTCTTTCTGCGCCGTTTCCTTTTGGGCGAACCAATGACTATATCAGGACTGCCCCGGATCGCGGCAATCACCTGCCTGACCGTTTGGGTATCCAAGCGAAAGAAAAGGTCTCCTTTCACTGCAAAGGTGGTCAATACAGTCATGCCCTCGAGCTGAACCTCGACGGCGCCGCCCTTCACGAAGAATTGATCGCCATTACGTGCAGCTCGGAATTTATGGTTGTCTGGCACGACCTCTCCGGCTGCTTCCATTGCATGCCGCTGCACTTGCGCGTAGGCTGCATTGCACGCCTCACGCCTAGCAACTTGCATATTATGCCAGAACTGTTTCTTGCACATGTCGTTTGATTTGGCTGCATGCCTGTTCAGACCACGTCCAGTGGTCAATTTTGTCAAGACCCTGTCATTCTTGTTGACGTTGAAGAAGGTCTGGCCCTGGACAACCTGGGTGGTTGGATACCATACAGTCTTTCCAATCCGTATGGCATGGACCTGTGCGATGGAGATGGCATCTTCTCTAATCTCATCACCATCATCATCCTCATTTTCCTCTGCAGACGCCATGGCCACATGCAGGCAAACGATGGCTTATAAGTTCAAAATGTTGTTTCTGTTGGATTGCATGCCTGATGTAATACTAAGTTCATTCAAGTCGGTCTTGTGCATGTGTCGTCATGGGAACATCATGGAGCATGCGAGCTGGGCCCGACAATGCCACAGACGCGAGCACAGCCCGCGGCTGTTTGTTAAAAAGATACAAAAGCACTGGGTGTCATTGTGAACATGAGGTGATACACGGTTGTGAGGTGATACATGGTTGTGTGATAAATTTTGTAACTGCAAGGCTCAGAATATCCATGTGAGAAAGTGGTACCTGGATTCTCATGGTGCGCCTGTTGCCCACCTGTAGTTGAATATGGTGATGCGCATAGTCCTGCAGCAGGGGCAGGTCGGGTCTGTTGAACAAACATCATGTTTGGGAATTAGACTTGGCCATCCAGATTCACAGAACTACAGCCTTCAAAATGGTGGTTGGGTTGATGTGTTTCTAACATCCATCTAGGAACCACGACCTTTGACCTGATCATTGCAATCTTCAAAATAGATATAGTCGATGTCTAGCATCAACAAATTTGTTCATTGTTTTGGGAATATCAGAATTTTGCGTTTTTGTGATTGCACAAAATGGCATAGTGCCATTTTGTGCAATCACAAAATGGCAATGTGCCATTTTGTGCAATCACAAGTTTCCAAAATTGACATCAATGGTTTTTTTGTGCAATCACAAAATGGCAATGTGCCATTTTGTGCAATCACAAAATGGCATAGTGACATTTTGTGCAATCACAAAAATTCAAAATTCATTTTTTTTGATGAACCTGAAAATAACTAAGGAGGGGGGAACTCTCGCCAATTTTTTCCGGCAACTTTTTTGAAACTTAAGGTTCAAAATTGACCAGACCTGAATTTCTGTGGTTGGCCCACCTGGAAAACCAAGCAACAGTCATCATTTTTTCAACATGTTGGATCATCATTTTGTGGCATCCCTTTAGTAACGGTTTATGATTTGTTTCCTACTTGGAGCAATTTCAGAAACCGATTCAAACAGTTTACAACCTCATCCACCCATGAATCTCCCACCCAACACTCACGTTGTGATATCTTTTGTTTTCTCACGCTGTCATGTTTGCGGAGGAAATCTTGAGGCGATGCATAGGCTTCCACAACAAAGCACTGAGATGAAATCTAGATATGACAATATCAAACTGCAACATTAAAACCAAAAACAATGTGGTCCAATGAGTGCAGCTTGCATTCCCAAACTCATACCATAATATTTATTGCCATGGTAGCCCCTGTACGTTTTTAAATTCAGGTCGCCATGCGATCACGATAGCTCAGGCGACATTCTGCTAATGAAGCCTTCTACTGCAAACATTCAGTTGATATTCCAACCAACCTTTCTCTCAGATCCTTATGAAAAAACTGTTGCAGCATCTCTGGACGGCTTCAACAGTGCATGCATGGAAACTCACAAATGACCGGGACCAGTGCAAGGTAACAAAACGTTATCTTTCTTTCATGGTCGTATAGGTACCTCTGTGCAACCATTTGTTGAAACAATGCTACTTGGTAGACATGACAAATACTATACATTTCAATGAGTTCCCATGCGCCATCGGCCAGTGTACATGCAGATTCCTGCAATGAAGCCACATCACATTAATCAAACTATTCAACATCATGTGGTTTCATTCGTATAGCACGCAACTGCCACAGAGAGCATATAAGCTATAGTTTGGTTTTCGTAGCTGTCACTGCCTTTCCCAGGCTGCTACAGTTATCAGGGCCATCGGCCAGTGTACCTGCAGATTCAGGCAATGAAGCCACATCACATTAATCAAACTATTCAACATCATGTGGTTTCATTCGTATAACACGCAATTACCACAGAGAGCATATAAGCTAGTTTCTTTTTTTGTGGCTGTCACTGCCATGCTTGGGCTATAGTGAAACGACCCCTTATACCATATAGCTGATCCGAGCCCTTATATGCACCCTCAGAGTAAATTTGATTATGATTATTGCATGGTTAGTAAAGTTTTAAGGTGGGTTAAGTTTTTATTTTTTTCCAGGGGATCAGCTATATTCATCGACCATGCCTTGCGAGATCACAGGACGCTTTCGAGCGATCTAGCTAAGCTTCCCATGATCTGCAAGGCATGGTCGATGCGATCGCCCTGCTCCTGTCTTTCGATCGCCAGCTGGCGATTCTGCTGCTGCCGCTGGTATTTCCAGCCACCACGCCTCCGGTTGCTGGCATCTCTGATGCGCTTCTGCCTTGGAGCGGCCAAGGGCATGAAAACACATATCATCCCCATGATGTCAACTGTGAACTGCACCTACGCTATGCGTACTTCAAAAGCATATCCAACAAGATGAGATTTGGGAAGTAGAATGGAAACCAACGCCGGGAACACCTACATGTTGTCATAATGCAATATGTCTATGGTTTGTCCAATAAGAAAGTACACACAACGAAGGTAGTAAAGGTGAATGCCAATGACTGCAGTAGTATTGCAATATAGTATTGCCTGCGAGCATAGCCCGCAAAGGCAGTGCAGCGAGCAAGGCCCGCCTGCACCCGTCGACAAATTAATAGATTCTGAAAACTGCAATACTAAGTGTGCCCAATTGCAAAGAAAAATAAGTACAAACAAAAAGAGACATTGAAAGGACAAGATGCGGCTGGCTGTCGCCTTCAGGGCCCCACTCCATGGACATCGTCACTTCTTTGTTCCTGGGAATCGCAAGCATGGGCCGCTGCATGGTTGCATGCATGCAGGGAATCATGGGAAACTTTTGCATGTTCATAACATGGTCTCCCCTCCAAGGACCATCGATTCTAAAGTTTAAACCTTCTCACTGCAGGGTTTGCTGCCCTAAACAAAGTATATAGACCTTTGCTAAATGTCTGCAAAGAATCGCGCTCCATCCATCTCCTTCCATTGTCGCTGACATGGTGTGGGTCCAGCTGCCATCTGCCTCCTGCCATTGTCCACCATCAGAGGGCCACCCCATCCAGCGCTGAGAGTCATCCTGCCAGCGCTGCACATCAGAGCCCTGCCAACCAGAGCCATGCCAGGGCTGAGACGGCTGAGACTCCTGCCAGGGCTGCACATCATGGCCCTGCCAACCGGAGCTCTGCCAGGGCTGAGACTCCTGCCGCTGCTGTGGTGGCTCCTGCCACTGGCTGCTTGAGGAACTCCTCGTCTCCCATGACTTGTCGGGCATGGGCACCGTCTTCACCTTAGGGATCTGATTCCCTGCAGGTCTTGGCATCGCCTTCACCTTGACCGTGCTTCTGCTTGGTGTCGGTGGTGGTGGCGGCGGTGGTGGTGGTGGCATGGCTGCATCCGGCTTGACATCCTTTTCATCGGATGTCTCATTCTTGCCATCACCACCTCCTTCGGCAGCAGCATCACAGGGCGAGTTCATCAAATCTGCAGCCACTGCGCTTTTCAGCCCATCCTCCATGAACTTCTTCAAGAAGCTACCGGGAATGTAGCCTGCATGCAGAAGCGTGGATGCAAATTAAATATGTTTATTGCCAAGTCCAACATGATGAGTGCATGAAGTGCCCCGTCCAAAAAAATGCATTTGAAACATAAGTGGTTCCCTTTCTTTGGGCAGCGCCTTCTGGCACATCCACCTCCTCCAACGTCTTCGCAGCAGAGCCGCGAACTGCCATGCGCTGCGGCAGCTCCTCTTCCATGGAGTCGAGCGCGATGTCCAACATGTTGCCCATTTGCTGGGTGAACACAAAGGGCAGTGATTTTTTGATGTTATAAGACTTCATAGCGGTATACCGTAAACAATTAAACTGTAGGTTTTCCCCAGGGGAAAAATGGGGAATGAATCTATATCGGCGACGATGCTATATGATACCATGCGTCAAGGTGGGCATATTATATACTATATATAAACCATAAAACAAGTGACAACTGACCTATACACACAACAAAAGGTGCCGACATGTCGCTGTCTTCATGACATGCGCTGAAGCCAAGAGGAATGCAACAGTTTGTGAACATGTCATGGTATCATGCCTGTAACTTGCAACAATAAAATTGGAATTTCTTTCAAGGGATGGATTATGGTGAACTCTCCTTCACATTAATGTTATCCTCTTGTTTTGTCAATTCAAACTTCATTCTACCTTCGAACCTAACCATGGCCTCCCCCCTCCCAGTATAGTGTCCTCTGGGGCCAGCTGAGCTGCGGAAGGATGCAGTAGCCTGCATGGAGCGTTGAGCAAACTCCATTATTATAGCACACGTTGAAATCCCAAAAGAAAAAACCAGAGTAATTCATCCACAAAAATTATGTTGGCTTCGCATGTTCAAGAAGCTAAGATGAACAAATGCACACAATCAAACATAATCATTGCATCAAGGGCCGGCAATTTCCAGTGTGGCACGTCCAGCCCAATCAGAAACTGTGAGCCAGCGGGCCTGGTGCACGCAATATAGAGTCCATGCATGCACCATGAGCACCTGGCACGGCAGGATGCAAAATGAAACATGAACATGTGGCTGGCCAGTCCATGCATGCAGCTGAACAACTTGAAATGCCTTTCGCCCGTGCTCTCTTGTGAAAATTGGTCGCCATGCATGACCTGCATGTGTCCTAAACATCACCGGCAACTTCAAAAGAGATGGGTCTCCAAACGAAAACAAATTGTTCTTTCGAACAGGCAAAGACCGGTCTGATACCCATGCATGCTATCAAAGGATTCCATCGAAACCTACATCCCTGAAGCTGCACCCGACATCATCTGAAAAAAATCATTCTACATCAGAATCATCAGCTCCAACACGGACTGGCGCCAAGTTCACAAACAACTCTTGCTCGGATGGCGAGAATCGCCTGCAATGATGCTGAGTGATCCGGATGCCTGTCTTGAACTTGTAGTACTCCCGCAGCCGAATTCCCAGGCACTTCATGCTCTTGGGGACATTCACATCATAAAGGACATCCTGCATAAGAACCGGAAACAAAAT